AAAAAAAATAAAAAAAATGCCTACAACACCCGGTATTCCCAGGCGGTCTCCCATCCAAGTACTAACCAGGCCCTACGCTGCTTGACTTCGGTGATCGGACGAGAACCGGTATATTCAGCATGGTATGGTCGTAGGCGAAAGACATCATCGTTCAACCTATTTGAAGTTAAAGACTGACGTCATCATTGAGCATGCGCACAAAGTGCGCTTTATTGACCAGTGTCAATGTTACGTCATGGCCCGTGTCTTGGAAACGGTTGAGGGTTATTTTTGTTACTGTTCTGCATAAATGTTATAAACGATGTAAATATGTTCATTCAGGGCCCCATGGAAGACCACTACTTGTTGGTGAATGGGCTACGTACCCTGCCAAAAGATTAGAAACAAATAAATAAATAAATTTAAAAAGAAACCCCCCAAAAACAGAGGGAAAGGGAAGGTAAGAGGAGGGTTCAGCATGTCAAGGGCGTCACCTCAAGCAAAAACAATTCCCCAAAAAAAAAAATTAAAAAAAATGCCTACAACACCCGGTATTCCCAGGCGGTCTCCCATCCAAGTACTAACCAGGCCCTACGCTGCTTGACTTCGGTGATCGGACGAGAACCGGTATATTCAGCATGGTATGGTCGTAGGCGAAAGACATCATCGTTCAACCTATTTGAAGTTAAAGACTGACGTCATCATTGAGCATGCGCACAAAGTGCGCTTTATTGACCAGTGTCAATGTTACGTCATGGCCCGTGTCTTGGAAACGGTTGAGGGTTATTTTGTTACTGTTCTGCATAAATGTTATAAACGATGTAAATATGTTCATTCAGGGCCCCATGGAAGACCACTACTTGTTGGTGAATGGGCTACGTACCCTGCCAAAAGATTAGAAACAAATAAATAAATAAATTTAAAAAGAAACCCCCCAAAAACAGAGGGAAAGGGAAGGTAAGAGGAGGGTTTCAGCATGTCAAGGGCGTCACCTCAAGCAAAAACAATTCCCCACAAAAAAAAAAATTAAAAAAAAAATGCCTACAACACCCGGTATTCCCAGGCGGTCTCCCATCCAAGTACTAACCAGGCCCTACGCTGCTTGACTTCGGTGATCGGACGAGAACCGGTATATTCAGCATGGTATGGTCGTAGGCGAAAGACATCATCGTTCAACCTATTTGAAGTTAAAGACTGACGTCATCATTGAGCATGCGCACAAAGTGCGCTTTATTGACCAGTGTCAATGTTACGTCATGGCCCGTGTCTTGGAAACGGTTGAGGGTTATTTTTGTTACTGTTCTGCATAAATGTTATAAACGATGTAAATATGTTCATTCAGGGCCCCATGGAAGACCACTACTTGTTGGTGAATGGGCTACGTACCCTGCCAAAAGATTAGAAACAAATAAATAAATAAATTTAAAAAGAAACCCCCCAAAAACAGAGGGAAAGGGAAGGTAAGAGGAGGGTTTCAGCATGTCAAGGGCGTCACCTCAAGCAAAAACAATTCCCCCAAAAAAAAAATTAAAAAAAATGCCTACAACACCCGGTATTCCCAGGCGGTCTCCCATCCAAGTACTAACCAGGCCCTACGCTGCTTGACTTCGGTGATCGGACGAGAACCGGTATATTCAGCATGGTATGGTCGTAGGCGAAAGACATCATCGTTCAACCTATTTGAAGTTAAAGACTGACGTCATCATTGAGCATGCGCACAAAGTGCGCTTTATTGACCAGTGTCAATGTTACGTCATGGCCCGTGTCTTGGAAACGGTTGAGGGTTATTTTTGTTACTGTTCTGCATAAATGTTATAAACGATGTAAATATGTTCATTCAGGGCCCCATGGAAGACCACTACTTGTTGGTGAATGGGCTACGTACCCTGCCAAAAGATTAGAAACAAATAAATAAATAAATTTAAAAAGAAACCCCCCAAAAACAGAGGGAAAGGGAAGGTAAGAGGAGGGTTTCAGCATGTCAAGGGCGTCACCTCAAGCAAAAACAATTCCCCAAAAAAAAAATTAAAAAAAATGCCTACAACACCCGGTATTCCCAGGCGGTCTCCCATCCAAGTACTAACCAGGCCCTACGCTGCTTGACTTCGGTGATCGGACGAGAACCGGTATATTCAGCATGGTATGGTCGTAGGCGAAAGACATCATCGTTCAACCTATTTGAAGTTAAAGACTGACGTCATCATTGAGCATGCGCACAAAGTGCGCTTTATTGACCAGTGTCAATGTTACGTCATGGCCCGTGTCTTGGAAACGGTTGAGGGTTATTTTTGTTACTGTTCTGCATAAATGTTATAAACGATGTAAATATGTTCATTCAGGGCCCCATGGAAGACCACTACTTGTTGGTGAATGGGCTACGTACCCTGCCAAAAGATTAGAAACAAATAAATAAATAAATTTAAAAAGAAACCCCCAAAAACAGAGGGAAAGGGAAGGTAAGAGGAGGGTTTCAGCATGTCAAGGGCGTCACCTCAAGCAAAAACAATTCCCAAAAAAAAAAATTAAAAAAAATGCCTACAACACCCGGTATTCCCAGGCGGTCTCCCATCCAAGTACTAACCAGGCCCTACGCTGCTTGACTTCGGTGATCGGACGAGAACCGGTATATTCAGCATGGTATGGTCGTAGGCGAAAGACATCATCGTTCAACCTATTTGAAGTTAAAGACTGACGTCATCATTGAGCATGCGCACAAAGTGCGCTTTATTGACCAGTGTCAATGTTACGTCATGGCCCGTGTCTTGGAAACGGTTGAGGGTTATTTTTGTTACTGTTCTGCATAAATGTTATAAACGATGTAAATATGTTCATTCAGGGCCCCATGGAAGACCACTACTTGTTGGTGAATGGGCTACGTACCCTGCCAAAAGATTAGAAACAAATAAATAAATAAATTTAAAAAGAAAACCCCCAAAAACAGAGGGAAAGGGAAGGTAAGAGGAGGGTTTCAGCATGTCAAGGGCGTCACCTCAAGCAAAAACAATTCCCCAAAAAAAAATTAAAAAAAAAAATGCCTACAACACCCGGTATTCCCAGGCGGTCTCCCATCCAAGTACTAACCAGGCCCTACGCTGCTTGACTTCGGTGATCGGACGAGAACCGGTATATTCAGCATGGTATGGTCGTAGGCGAAAGACATCATCGTTCAACCTATTTGAAGTTAAAGACTGACGTCATCATTGAGCATGCGCACAAAGTGCGCTTTATTGACCAGTGTCAATGTTACGTCATGGCCCGTGTCTTGGAAACGGTTGAGGGTTATTTTTGTTACTGTTCTGCATAAATCGTCAAACGTTGTACGAACCGTCCTCTCTGGCCAAATTCGGCATTTTTTTGAATTTTATTTTTTGCAAATTTTTTCATGTACTATAAATAAATACATTTTGTGAAAATTTCAGAGTCTAACATGCGAGGGGTTACGTAATAACGACGTCATGTAAAGCGTCCTCTTGCAAAAAATTGGAAATTCTGTACCACGAACCGTCCTCTCTCGCGCTCGCGCGCTCAGGACACTTCGTGGTGAAGAATTTGACGTAAATTGATCCGTCTGTGCACCACGAAGCGGCCGCTTCCCTGGAAAGTTTGCCCGGATCCAATTATTCGTAAGTATATGCTCTAAGATCTATTTCTAAAACATAAATATTTTCAAAAAACAATAAGAGATTCTCCTTCGGTTATGCAATTATATTTTTCTAAAAAGTTCATTTATCATTAAATTCTCACGAAAAATTATGTACAGTCCCGCCTATTCAGTTTTTGGTGGACCTAACACGAAATCCTGTCTGACTGTTGATAATAACAACTAACTTCAGATCTACTGAAGATATCTGCTTTCTAAGATTATTTAATGAAACTGTCTGTAGATTAGATAAACACAGGAAAAAACTAGAAACAAGAGCAATTCAACACTAGTAATTTAGGTCTAACTCTAGATCTAGACCTAGGATCTACTTTGTCTTTATCTTACAATACCTACTATACTAACGACGGACGATTTAGCCTAGACCAGATCTATTTCTGATCAAGAAAGACACAAATTAGACCTAGATGTAAACTTAGTCTTAGTGAGATCTAGACTAGAGTCTAGCTAGACCATAGTCTGACTAGACCTAGGTCTAGTCCTAACTTTTTTTAGTATTATTAAGATGTATAATGTTACTAACTAACCTTCTTAGGGTCTATAGATTTTATCTAGATCTAACATTTGGACTAGGCCTAGATAGTTAAGGTTTTACCTAGGAGCTCCACCATTAGCAGATCTTAAGTCATTTGTGCCTGCCCATTTCGGGGACCAAAACTGAAAGTTCTATTTTATATGTAATCTAATCAAGATAGTTACAATTAATGTACTGAACAATAGTTGGACTTCATCTAGATTAACCATTTTTTCATTACAAAAAAAATGTCTTATTCAGTCCAAAAATTGGCAGGGACCAGGGTATTCATGTTCATGTTCTTGTTGACATTTTATTTATGTACTTGAATGCATGGTGTAGTAAATTATTGTAACTTTAATCTCTACCTATGTGTCAAATCATTGTGAAACCGATTTGTATATCATTGACTTTTATAATATTTTGTCTCATTTTTTCTTGTTTTTATTATCGCAGATGTGGCTGTGCAACTTAGAGAAGGAGATATCTAAAACAAAGCAGGTATGCAAGACCAAAGAAGAGCAAAGGGAAAGTGGATCAAGGTAAGAATTCTTATGTTTACAGAATAAATATTTATAAATAATGAAATGGTGTTAAAAAACAATATATAGGTGATGTCTTTGACTTTATAATTTCAAGTGTTGGGCCAATATTAATGCAGAATAATAATTTCTTCATGAATTATAAAAAATAAGGCTATAATTTCTTTACCAGTTCATCTCTCATGGAACAGCTTAATATGTATGTTTTATTACGAATACATACCGGTATGCAAAATTGTTATGAAAATAAGGTTGTTGAAATCTCTCTTTCTTTTTTTATTCCTTTTTAGACCGGATAAGGCTATGATGTTTTGGTGCAATGGCATTTGAATGGTGCAAACAACATTGTTCATTCACCACTCCTTCAGTGGACAGGGAAGATGACAAAAGGGAAAGAGGTGATCATGGACTATGAAGGGACTCTGTGGCAAGGAATCGTTCTCGATTCAGAATATCTTGAAGATTCAGAATCGTCTGATGAGGAATTTGACATCCCCCTGGCACGACTTTCTGACAAATATGCAGGTATTACTCTCCTTTTCCTCTTTTTCCCAATTTGATATCATCTGAGTGTTAACCAGTTCTTGGGAGTATGAGAGTCTCGTCAAGAAAATGTTACAATAATGAACTTGTGCATGAAAAAATGAACATATTTACAATAATGAATATGTATATACAAAAGAACGTAATTACAATTATGAATAAGAATGTTTGCATTATGAAAGTACAAGAATATAACAACAACAACAATCTAACCAACTTTCCTACAAGATCTTAATGAGGAAAGACCGAAGCGCATGTTCAATATTATAAATGGATTCTTCTACATTTGTAAGATCTTTTTTTAGGGGGGAGGGGTGGGTGCAGGTTTGGGATGAGTCTTCTATTTGGGGGGGGGGGAGGCATTGGAACTAGTGTGTATATTTCACTATTGTAGTCTTATTCATTTTTTTTTTTGGGGGGGGGGGCATCTTCTTCGGAGAGTTTAAAACTAGTGTTTATATTCAATTTTTGTAATCCTACCCCAGAAGCAAAACTTGGTCCTCTACCCGTATCATCGCCATCACTTCCTGAAGATTCAACAGGATGTGGATCTGGATTGCCTGAACCAATATCCATCGCAAGTGACCAGATAACACAGTCTGATGAGGAATTTGACATCCCCCTGGCACGACTTTCTGACAAATATGCAGGTATTACACTCCTTTTCCCAATTTGATAGATAAGATAAGATAAGATTTTATTAAACTCTATCGAACCCCGATCGGGAGTATGAGAGTCTCAACAAGAACATATTGACAATAATGAATTTGTGCATGAAAAAATGACCATATTTACAATAATGAATATGCATATACAAATGAACTTAATTACAATTATGAATAAGAATGTTTGCATTATGAAAGTACAAGAATATAACAACAACAACAATCTAGACCAACTTTCCTACAAGATCTTAATGAGGAAAGACCGAAGCGCATGTTCAATATTATAAATGGATTCTTCTACATTTGTAAGATCTTTTTTTAGGGGGGAGGGGTGGGTGCAGGTTTGGGATGAGTCTTCTATTTGGGGGGGGGAGGCATTGGAACTAGTGTGTATATTTCACTATTGTAGTCTTATTCATTTTTTTTGGGGGGGGGGCATCTTCTTCGGAGAGTTTAAAACTAGTGTTTATATTCAATTTTTGTAATCCTACCCCAGAAGCAAAACTTGGTCCTCTACCCGTATCATCGCCATCACTTCCTGAAGATTCAACAGGATGTGGATCTGGATTGCCTGAACCAATATCCATCGCAAGTGACCAGATAACACAGTCTGATGAGGAATTTGACATCCCCCTGGCACGACTTTCTGACAAATATGCAGGTATTACACTCCTTTTCCCAATTTGATAGATAAGATAAGATAAGATTTTATTAAACTCTATCGAACCCCGATCGGGAGTATGAGAGTCTCAACAAGAACATATTGACAATAATGAATTTGTGCATGAAAAAATGACCATATTTACAATAATGAATATGCATATACAAATGAACTTAATTACAATTATGAATAAGAATGTTTGCATTATGAAAGTACAAGAATATAACAACAACAACAATCTAGACCAACTTTCCTACAAGATCTTAATGAGGAAAGACCGAAGCGCATGTTCAATATTATAAATGGATTCTTCTACATTTGTAAGATCTTTTTTAGGGGGGAGGGGTGGGTGCAGGTTTGGGATGAGTCTTCTATTTGGGGGGGGGGGGAGGCATTGGAACTAGTGTGTATATTTCACTATTGTAGTCTTATTCATTTTTTTTTTTTGGGGGGGGGCATCTTCTTCGGAGAGTTTAAAACTAGTGTTTATATTCAATTTTTGTAATCCTACCCCAGAAGCAAAACTTGGTCCTCTACCCGTATCATCGCCATCACTTCCTGAAGATTCAACAGGATGTGGATCTGGATTGCCTGAACCAATATCCATCGCAAGTGACCAGATAACACAGTCTGATGAGGAATTTGACATCCCCCTGGCACGACTTTCTGACAAATATGCAGGTATTACACTCCTTTTCCCAATTTGATAGATAAGATAAGATAAGATTTTATTAAACTCTATCGAACCCCGATCGGGAGTATGAGAGTCTCAACAAGAACATATTGACAATAATGAATTTGTGCATGAAAAAATGACCATATTTACAATAATGAATATGCATATACAAATGAACTTAATTACAATTATGAATAAGAATGTTTGCATTATGAAAGTACAAGAATATAACAACAACAACAATCTAGACCAACTTTCCTACAAGATCTTAATGAGGAAAGACCGAAGCGCATGTTCAATATTATAATGGATTCTTCTACATTTGTAAGATCTTTTTTTAGGGGGGAGGGGTGGGTGCAGGTTTGGGATGAGTCTTCTATTGGGGGGGGGGGGGAGGCATTGGAACTAGTGTGTATATTCACTATTGTAGTCTTATTCATTTTTTTTGGGGGGGGGGGGCATCTTCTTCGGAGAGTTTAAAACTAGTGTTTATATTCAATTTTTGTAATCCTACCCCAGAAGCAAAACTTGGTCCTCTACCCGTATCATCGCCATCACTTCCTGAAGATTCAACAGGATGTGGATCTGGATTGCCTGAACCAATATCCATCGCAAGTGACCAGATAACACAGTCTGATGAGGAATTTGACATCCCCCTGGCACGACTTTCTGACAAATATGCAGGTATTACACTCCTTTTCCCAATTTGATAGATAAGATAAGATAAGATTTTATTAAACTCTATCGAACCCGATCGGAGTATGAGAGTCTCAACAAGAACATATTGACAATAATGAATTTGTGCATGAAAAAATGACCATATTTACAATAATGAATATGCATATACAATGAACTTAATTACAATTATGAATAAGAATGTTTGCATTATGAAAGTACAAGAATATAACAACAACAACAATCTAGACCAACTTTCCTACAAGATCTTAATGAGGAAAGACCGAAGCGCATGTTCAATATTATAAATGGATTCTTTCTACATTTGTAAGATCTTTTTTAGGGGGGAGGGGTGGGTGCAGGTTTGGGATGAGTCTTCTATTTGGGGGGGGGGGAGGCATTGGAACTAGTGTGTATATTTCACTATTGTAGTCTTATTCATTTTTTTTTTGGGGGGGGGGGCATCTTCTTCGGAGAGTTTAAAACTAGTGTTTATATTCAATTTTGTAATCCTACCCCAGAAGCAAAACTTGGTCCTCTACCCGTATCATCGCCATCACTTCCTGAAGATTCAACAGGATGTGGATCTGGATTGCCTGAACCAATATCCATCGCAAGTGACCAGATAACACAGTCTGACAGCCATGCAGGTAAAAATATCTTCCAATAATAGTTCATGACTATTCATAATAACATAAAGAAATCAGAGGACTGTCCACAGTACAAGGAAATTATACTGATGATAATAACTAAAGTGAAATTATATTGATACAGTTAGAATGGACAAAAGCACACTTCATTTTATTGATTGTGTACGTGTTCTGAATATAAAAGGGATTTTCTATTCATTTATTCAATATCCTGATCAATTATTATCACACTTATTGTTTCTGTTGTGCTCAATATAACTTTACCTGTGTCCCGAAAATTATGTCATTACATTCACTATCATTGTTTTCCTTGTCTTTTTATCTTCTCCAGATTCTCCGCTCCATCCAAACATGCAGTGTGGTCAGAGAAATCCTGAAACATGTGACAATTTCATGTGTACTGATGAAGTTTGGGCAGCGTGTCCAGAGTGCTTGTGTTTCTTATGCTTCCTTCATTTTAACTTACGTGATGATTGCCTTTGTCATAATCTTGCATTCAATCTCAGTGAAATTCCACTTGACATCAGTTCAAGTGCATCACAGTACCAAGGGCTCACCAACGAAGAAGAAAGGAACAATGAAGACGAGGTTATGCCGTTAATGGAACAAGAAGAGGAAACTTTGAAAACCAAGCCTCATTGGATACAAGAGTTGAAGAGAACGGAGATCAGGTACTGATGGCGACTCTGGAATCAAAACAATCCGATGCGACCGACTCATTAGATATTCCAGAGCATCTTGAAGAAGCTAGCCTTCCCCAGGAATCAGCTGATAATAGTCAACTGTCTCCTGAATCATTTCAAGTAGATGGGGAAAGAGCATTGGAAGTGCCAGAGCAGCCAAAGACGGTGAAGAGTAGAAATCAATTAGTCAAAGAACGGAGAAATGCTGGTTACAGCTATGAGAGTGAAAAGAGTAAGGAACTAAAGCGGCGAGGAGATTGCTAGCTACGAAACCTCATGTGAAAAGTGTCATTTCAGAGGACTTAGTTGCAACACATTTAGTTGCAACACTCGTGAAGCTATTAGATCAGCTTTTTATGACCTTGCTGATCTGACAAAGCAGAGAGAATGGATTGGACGGCACACCGAACAGATTCAAGAAAAGAAGTCAAGAAAGATCAGAAAATGTGCGTATTTCCTGCCCAATGCAGGTGATCCATGCATTAAAGTTCGTGTATGCAAAGCGATGTTCGTGGGAACATTAGGTATATCAGAGAGGCAAGTGAAGACCGTGCTTGGAAAGAAGGAGACCATACGGCTGCCTGAAGGTGAAGGAAGGGGTGGCAGGCAGACGTCTGACAGAGACGCTCTATTACGTGAAGGGGTGAAGCGGCACATTAATCAATTCCGCGTCAAGAATCTCATTATTGTCGGGCCAACAGTCGATGTGAATACCTTTCAGAAGATCTCAATCCTGAGATCATGTATCGCATGTACAATTCATCTACAGAAGGTACAGAGGAATGTGTTCTTTATCTCTTTACAGGAAGGTTCTGAAGAAGATGAATATCAAGTTCCATCATCCGAAAAAGGACATGTGCCCCTGTGCGAAACCTACAGACGTGGGAATCCCAAAGAGAGGGAAGAAATGCAGGGGCATACAAAGTTCACATTGCTGAAAAAGAAAAAGTAAGAGAGTTGAAGAGTCTTGCTAAGGAAAGAGCTTCAGTTGACCACACATTTGTCTCTGCAGTTTTCGATCTGGAGCAGGTCATTTACTTGCCGAAGTCCCCACAATCTGACATTTTCTACAAACGTAGACTCAGCAACTACAACTTCACGATATAGAACTTGCAAGCAAGGACGGATGGTGCTTTCTTCACACGAGTGCGAAACAAAAAGAGGATCCTGTGAAATGCCTCACACGTCCATCGGTACCTTAACAGTCTAGATGAGAGGGGTGTGAAACAAGTAGTGTTCTACTGTGATGGCTGTGTCGGTCAAAATAAGAACTCTATCATCCCAACAATGCTGCAACATTTCATCGGAAAGGCTAAGTCCGTTGAATCGGTCACAGTTAATTACTTCCCTACAAACCACGGACAAAGTGAGGGTGATGCCATGCACAGCGTCATAGAACGAAGCATTAGACGTGTGAAAGAAGTCATGGTACCGACTCAATTGAGCACCATTTGTGCGATGGCTCGTCTTCACCCCATCCTTATCAGTAGTAGAAGTCCAATCAAGAGATATTGATGATTGGAAGTCTGTTGGTAACAGAAAGGTATTCTGCGAGTCCGAACCTCTGAGGGTGGACAAAACCGTAGACTGGAAGAAATTCATGGCTATGAAGGTCGTGAAAGGTGAAGTGGATTCCGTGTACTTCAAGTATTCTCACACTGATGAAGAATTGATGTGATCAGGACAAACCAGACACGGAGAGGTGTAGAAGAGGTCACTGAAGTAACACCCGAGCCTCTCTACAGGAATGGCCCACCAAAGATATCTTTGGGTAAAATATCAGGATCTCAAGGCCCTCTGCAGCGCGCACTACACCTGCAGTCTGGCCCCCAACTCCACCAGGCTTTTATGATAAGCTGCCTCACTACTAAACTATGCTACCCAAATGATATCAGTTAATTAATGCTTTCATATTCTTTGGTTCCATAAAAAGTAATCACGACCAGTTCATATCTGAAATGTAGAGGTGAATCTGCTAGATTGTGACGAGCTGGTTTGTCTTATGATACTTTGCGTATTTTCATATGAGCGATTTCAATTTTGTTGAAAATCAAATCTTTAAAAAAAAAGAACTTGTTTATAAATGATTCACAATGAGACTAAAAAAAATACTTTTGCATGACATCGAAACGAAAATTACTTATTTCATTGGTAGAGATGTATCTAGCAAAAGAGATAATATATCATGACATATTAATTAAATGATTTGTATTGAATGATGCATTTCTTGGGATATTACATTCATAGTTACGAAATTAAGCTGGCTCATTTTATTTATTTATTTTTTTCATCTGTAAATATTGAAGTTTTATATAAGGAATAGACTATAGAGATGAAATTATCAAATGAATTGACGAGAAATAATCAATTCTTTTGAATATTGTGTCAATATGATATTTATTGTACTCAAGACAAGTGATATTTACCATTTCCATCGGTAAATAATGCAGTTTAAAAACAAAATGTAATACACTGAAATAATTAAATGAATTGCGAGAAATAATCAATTCTTTGAATATTGTGTCAATATGATACTTATTGTACTCAAGACAAGTGATATTTTAACATTTCCATCTGTAAATAATGCAGTTGAATCTGCTAGATTGTGACAAGCTGTGTTTGTCATTATGATACTTTGCATTTTCATATGAGTGATTGAATTTTTGTTGAAAATCAAATCTAAAAAAAAAAAAGAACTTGTTATAAATGATTCACAATGAGACTAAAAAATAACTTTGCATGACATCGAAACGAAAATTACTTATTCATTGGTATGAGATGTATCTAGCACACAGAGATAATATATCAATGACACTTTAATTAAATGATTGTATTGAATGATGCATCTTTGGGATATTACATTCATAGTTACGAAATTAAGCTGGCTCATTTTTTTTTCTTTTTTTTTCATCTGTAAATATTGAAGTTTTAATATAAGGAATAGACTATAGAGATGAAATTATCAAATGAATTGACGAGAAATAATCAATTCTTTGAATATT